GTCCAATATCCCCCATTTATATTGGTGCAAGAACCTCTAACATACACTAGCACACTGAAGTCAGTAGTACTGAAAATGGGCAGCATGCCATGAGCAAGCAGTTTTCATTCATTTGAAATATGAAAATCAGTTAATGAAATATACCACATCGAAAGAATGGACGGGGAAATCCATGATCATCTCAATCGATGCAGAAAAAGAATTGGCAAAAATTCAACATCCTTTCATGATAAAAAATAAAAGGACTCAACGCATTAAAAATAGGAGGAAAGTACCACACATAATGAAGGACATCTATGAAGAGCCTGCAGTTAATCTCATCCTCAGCAGGGAAAGACTGAAAGTGTTTCATCCACGATCGATGGGAAGAACAAAGCAATGATACTCACATTCACCACCTTGTCTCATCTGGTACTGGGGATTGAACTGGGGATCTTTGTGCTGAGCTAAATCCCAGTCCTTTTTAAATTTTTTCTTTTGAGAGAAAGCCTCACAAGTCGCTAAGTTTTCCAGGCTGGCCTTGAACTCATGATCCTCCTGCCTCAGCCTTCTGAGCGTTGGGATTACGGGTGTGCACCACCACGCCTGGACTGGCATTCACCACTTCTGTTCCACATAATATTGGATGCTCTAGCCAGAGAAGTAAGAAGACGAGATAAAGATTCCCAAGCTGAGAAGGAGGAAGATGACAAGAGCTTATATAAAGAACACCTTGAAGATCCCACTGAAGCACGGTTTAAACTAATAAAAGCAAGCAGCAAGTGACTGTACCTTAGCAAGGAATAGTCAGAAAGGGGAGTTAGGAAAACAAGTTCACTGACATAGAATATTTAGGAATAAGTTTAATCAAGGAGCCAAAAAACCCGTGCACTGAAAACTATAAAACACTGCTGAAAAAATTTAAAAACCTAAAGTTGAAAAATATCCTGTGTTCATGTACTGAAGACTTAATATTGGTCAGATTATAATGCTACAGGTCCCACTAAGCCCCTATTAAAATTCTAATGTTTTGTGTAGAAACAGAAAAATCCAGGGCCTGGGATTTAACTCAGTGGTTCCGCTGCCTGCCTCACAAGCGCAAGGTCCCGAGTTCGATCCCTGGTACCAAAAAAAAGAAAAAAGAAAAAGAAAAATCCATCCTAAAATTCATGTGGAATCTCAAGAGACCCTGAGTAGCCAAAATCTTCTTACAAAAGAAAAAACAAAGTTGGAGGGATCACACTCTCTGACTTAAAACTTAGCAAGAAGCTGCAGGAATCCCCAGTGTGGGGCCCGTGCCAGAACAGCTCTGCAAAGTGCATCCAGACCTAAATGTTCGCTGTGGTTCGGGGTCTTCACTCCCTGCCGAAGTGCTAGGAGACCCAACATCCACCTGCACAAGAACAAAGTCAGACCCCTACCTCACACCAGTTACAAAAAATGAACTCGAAATAGATCAAAGACACACACAAGAGCTAATCCTCAAAAAGACACATTTCCACAGATGTCGACAGCCAGTTCCCGTGCTCGGTGTCAGAGCCGTCGGAGAAGTGGTTATCCACCCACAGCGCAGCATCCCGCACACCCCACACCCGCTACCAAGAGTGGAAAACAGCCAGGCGCTGTCTCAGCTGCTCGGGAGGCTGAGGCAAGAGGATTGCAAGTTTGAGGCCAGCCTCAGCAACTTAATGAGAGCCTGTGTTAGAATATAAGATAAAAGGACCGAGGATGAAGTGCACTGATAGGATGGCCCCGGGTTCCAACCCCAGAACCAGGAAGACAGAGGGAAGGAGGAGGACCAAGAGGTCTGGAGAAGACGCAGGGGAAAGGACCCTCGACTGTGGCTGGAAGACAGGGCAGCAGGTCCTCGGGAGCCACGCGGAGTGAGCCTGTGGAACTTGCCGGGGCCAGCAACCCCACGCCCAGTGAGCCCCCGGAGGAGTCCACCGCGGGGATGCAGGTCACGGCGGCCCGCGCCCCAGGACCAGAAGACCTGGCCCTGTGACCTTGCTCTGCTCCGCTTTGCAGGAGGAGGGCAAGGTGGGGTGGGCAGGCAGGGCCTGGACTATACCCAGGCTGTGGGCAAGCCCTAGGTGGGCAGCTGCTCTGGGCCGGGGCCTGTGTGGAGGAGCCCAGCAGAGCCTGGGGTCGCCATGGAGGGTGCAGGAGGGGCCCTGGGAAGTGGGGCCTGGGCTCACTCTTGCGGGACAGGTGAGCCCAGTAAGGGCTCTGTGTCACCCGCGGGGAAGGTCTCTGTCCATGGGGACTGCATCCACCCCAGGCCCTACATGGTCTGGCAGTCCGCTTTGTTCTCTGGCCCAGAAATGAGGGCCAGGTTCCCGCCCAGGTCCAAGCTGCAGGGCAGGCTCCTGGCACCGTGGTGGTGATGTGACCCCATGTCCCAGGACGGCCTCGGTCCCTCCCCACGGGCCAGCCGGGTCCCTTTCTTCCCTTGCCCCGCTCTCCAGCCCTTCGACTGTGAAGAGGTAAACTCCCCAAGGCTGAGCAAACAGGCTGGGCGGCTGCATCCGGGAAGTCGCAGCAGACCATCTGGGCAGTGGCAGTAGTTGGACTGTCCCAGGAAAGGGCGGGATCTGGGGCCGGGTGTCGCGTGCCTACTGTGTGCCCCCTGCCCCATGGGGCCCTTCCAGGCAGGGTGAGGAAGGAGGCTGTTGGCACCACCTGCGAGTGGTCAAGGAGGGCGGCTGCCCAGGCACCAGGCAGAGGAAGGGGAGCTGCTGTCTAGGCAGTGGGCCTGGTGCCACAGTGTGCGTGGGCATTAGTGAGCAGGCAGAGGGAAGGAGGGGCGGCTGGCGGTGGTCCAGGGCCCGGGCAGGGGTCCAGTCTGAGGGTCCTTCAAGGCCCTCCTGTGGCACTGCTGCCAGCTGCAGGTGAAGGAGAGCCCTGGAGACCCAGTCTCAGATTCTCCAACCTGGGAACACGGGGGCTGGGGAGGATCCAGCTGCTCAAATGCAGGCCCAGGAGGGCACGCTGGGCAGGGAGCCTGCTGGCCGGTCCACGCCAGCCCCCAGCCCAGCCACTCGTGTGCCAGAGGCGGCACACTCACGGCATCCGCAAGGTTGCTGGGTATGCGTGGGGTGGCCGTCAGCACAGTCCACCGCAAGCTTTTCGAAGTCATTACTGCTGTAACAGGGACTTGACACAACTTCCGGTCTTGGCCGTGTTTAACTGAAGTGCACAGTTGGGGCCCTAAGCCCCTCCGCACAGCGTGCAGCCAGCGCCCCTGTCTGCCCCGTCTGACTCCGCCCACGCCTCTCGACCTGCCGTCCTGTGCACCCGAGGCTTGGGGCCTCATACCAGTGGGATTGTGCGGCTTGTCCGTCTGTGACGGCCTTGTTCGCAGAGCAGTGTAGGGGGCCAGCATGTTGCAGCCCGTGTCAGAACTTCCTCCTCTGAACGCTTGTGTGATGTCCACGGTAGGGCCCACTGTCCCCCGAGCTCGTAGGTGGCCTCTGTTTTAGCGACTTTGGATGACGCAGCTGAGATCTTGGGCGGCCAAGAGCCTGAGCCCCTGCCTGCAACTCCACTGGGCCTAGAAGGAAAGGATTGCTGGGTCACGTGGCAGCTCTGCTTAACTCCGTGCGGGGCTCCTGGGGATTGAACCTGGCCCTTTGCACTGCGCTGCATTCCCGGCCCCTGTAATTAATTAATTTATTTTTGAGGCTGGGTCTTGCTAAGTTACCCAGGCTGGGCTTGAACTTGCCATCCTCCTGCCTCTGCCTCCCAGAGTGTTGGGATTACAGAAGGGCACCACCTCCTCCTCTGGCCGATACTGCCCTTTTTGAGGACTTGCCACACTGCTTTCCACAGTGGCTGCCCCATTTTGCATTCCCACAACAACGCTTAGGTTCCTGACGGCTCCACACTGGTGCCATCCCCACGGCTTTCTGACGGGTCCCTCTTCCCAGCAGGGCCACCCTGCCAGTGTCCTCCAAGGGGAAGGCAGAAGGTGCTCAGGGTTCAAGCAAAGCAACCTAGACATCACCCTAGGCCTCCCCAGGGCAGGCAAAGCCGCAGGGCCAGTGGCCCCTGCCCCTGGCATGCGTCCCGGGGACATTCCCACATGCGGCCCGTGTGTGCCACAGCCTGCGGCCTCGCTGTAAGAATGGGCACAGCTCAAGTTGCACCAACGGGAGGAAGTCACGGTGCCCACAGGGAGGGTGTCCGTGGGCCATCACTGCTGGGAAAGGCTGCCTGCATCCCTGGAAGCTTGACCACCCTGCTAGGTCACTTGGGGCGGGCAGCACACCCGGAGCTGTCGCCACTGCCCTGCGGCCTGTGCCTGCGTCACAGTGCCTGTCAGCAGAGGCCCACGCGGGCCCCAGCCCCCAGGGAGTGGCCACTGCCTTTGTCATTCACCAAGCAGGATGCTGGGCTGGGGCCTCTGGCCTGCCTTGGCCAGGACTGTTGGGCCTCAGTTTCCCCTTGAGCTGAACGTTGCAGCAGAGGGGGGCCGAAAGCTCCAGAGTCTGCAGGGGCTCTGCCTGCTTCCACTGGGGCCTCTAGGCCTGGAGCCTCCTCCTGGGACCCCCACCCAGCCACACAGGCCAGCACAGGGCCCAGCACATGACCCAGAGTACCCCAGACGGGGCTGAGCAGGAGCCCTGGGCCCTGTGTCCCAAGCCAAGCAGAGACTTTGAAGGGTGGGTCGACTCAGAGGGCCCTTCCTGCCGGCTGACACCCCAGGCCTCTCTGTGCCTGCAGCGGCTGGCCCCGCCTCAGCCAGGCAGTGCCTGGCCTCTCCCTCCCACTCAGAGACGTGCAGGGTGGGGGGCACCTGCATCTGGTGGCGTCAAATCCTTCCTCCTTGGGCCGCTTTCTGCCACAGCCCCTCCCCGAGAGCAAACACACGTGGCTGCCCCAGGGAATGGACGCGGCCCTGCGTGGCCAGGAGTGGGCACAGGGCCAAGGTGTTCTGCTACATAAGCCCAGGCCCCTGGGGAGCAGGCGCTGAGCCCCATTCCCTCCTTGCCCACCTGCCTGCCTTGCCAGCCCCCAGGATGGGCACCAGGAGCAGGAGCTGGGCGCTGGCCTGGGCCCTCGTGGCCCTGCTCGTGGTGCGGCTGGCAGGTAAGGCCAGAGCCCCTCACCTTGATGCTTTCCTGCCGGGGGGCCTTCTCTGGGCCCTGCTGAGGGGCACAGGCCGATCCTGCTGCCCACTGCCGGTGTCCCCAGCACTGCGAGCTCTGGGCTCTCGACGGTCTCATGTGGGGAGTGCGGTGTCAGGGACTCAGAGGCCCAGCCTGGGTGGGGGGTCAGGGAGGGCTTGGGGTAGGACAGGTGTGGGCAGTGCACCAGGGCTAGGGGCTGGCATCCCAGGGTCTTGAGAGGCTCGGCGATCAGAGAGGCAGTGACAGCTCTCTATGGATGAGGTCTCAGTTGACACTGGACCCGTGGGGCCTCCCCGCAGGTGGACCCCACTTCCAGGTGGCCAGGCTGGAACAGAGCAGAGAGCAGGGTGCCCAGGCCACAGCCTGACGCCTGGGCCGAGTCCTGTCAGCCATCCTGCCTCCCACCAGGCATCTCAGGGTACATGGCCCTTGTGAGCAGGGCTGCAGCCTCAGGCGATTCCTGGGAAAGCCACCACTGTCCTACCCCCGCCATGCTCACTGTTAGCAGGAAACATGTGGCCGCTGGGCAGCGCTGGCAGCCTCAGCATGAGCCGGCTGGGCTGACTTGGAGCCTGGTCACCAAAGCCACGGCTGCCCTGGGCTCTGCTCCCTACCCAGCTTGGCCTGGACAAGGGGGGAGCCGGCCCGAGAGCCCCTGCTTGTGAAGGGTGTGGTCAGGGGCGTTGTCCTCAGAGGCCCTGCCTGAGGCTCAGCTGGGAGGCTGGCTTGTGGGGCTCAGCTGCACCCCTGCTTCCAAGCTGTTCCAGGCCGAGTGCCTGGCCTGACTGCCTGAGGCCTCGGAGAGCATCGTCTGTCACAGACCCAGCCAGCGGGGAGGCAGGGCCCACACAGTGGCCTTGGAGTCGCCCAGACACGCAGGCTACTCGTGGTGGGAGTGGCTGGCCCTGAGTGGCGGCACCTGGGTGGGGAGACCAATGTCAAGGCATCGTGGTGCTGAGGCTGGGAGCTGGTCAGCGTCCTCCGGGCTGGAGGAGAGGCCGTGGGCCCAGGCCGGGAGGACAGAGGGAGTGGCCGGCCCTCTGGGAAACGAAGTCAAGTGGGGCCTGAAGAGGAGGGATGAACCCAGCCCTGTGGTTTCCAAATGTCAGCAGGCTGGGTGGGAAAGGCAAACAGGAAGCAAGATGCCCATGGTTCGGGGCATGAGTTCCAGCCGGAGATATGGGTCCCTGTGGAGCAGTGGGAGCTGCTGGGACTCGGCCCTTTAGCTGTGTGGGTGGTGCACCTCGTCCAGGCCCTGGGGCAAGGCTGCTGGAGGAGGCCACCCTGGGTGCCATCCTGGGGCTGACGCCTCCTGCTGCTCTGCCCGACTCCTGGTTCCAGTTCTGGGCCGGTTCTGATCTTGGGTTTCTGCTAAGTCGTTCCTGAAAACCTCCCACCGTGTCCTTCCAACAAAGCTCGCTTTTGTCCTCCAAGGGCAGGAGGGAGGGGGCTGAACCCTGGGTGGCCACGTTCTGGGACCAGGCCTGCTTCCTGATTCCATTTTCTTCCTTGAGTGGCCGGGGCCACTGCCCTGTCCCTCATGGGACAGGGTCGCCACCCCACATGTGCAAACCAGGAGGGCAAGTAGAGTCGCCATCAGGTCCCCTTGGGGAGGAGTCTCAGCCTCAGGCCAGAGCCTGCCACACTCCTCCCACCGTGGCAGTGACCCCGGTCAGGTGGCCGTGTGTCTCTCCTTTGCTGACTCCCACCCCTTTCCCTGCAGAGACCCAGACGCCGGCAGAGCTGAGCCTGGGGAACACAGAGCCCACCTCGGTGGACAGCGGTACGCAGGCAGGCTGAACGGGCGGAGTCACCCTGAGGCCCTCCCGGGTCTGTCTTGGGACAGTGCTGGGTGCCCAGGGATTGGGGCTCCCAGAGAGACCAGGGTGCAGGGCAGAGGTGGAGCGCACCTCTGTGAGCTCGAGGGCTGGACTGGGTTGGGTCGGCAGAAGGGGAGCACCCAGGAGGGCCCAGCAGGGACTGAGAGGAGCTGGACAGCCCTGCCCCAGGCCCTGGTCAGCCCAGGGTGGGCATGGAGTGGGCAGGCTGAGAGAAGGTGCCTCCAGCCACGGGCTCAGCATGACGCAGCCCTGCCCTGCAGCCTATCCCACGGCCTCGCCTGCCCGGCGCCTGACCTTCATCCCACCCCTCGCCGTCTTCCCCAGTGTGAGCCGTAAGTAGGAGGTTGCCCTGCCAAACGGGGAGGGAGTCTGTGGGCCTGGGGATGAGGTACCTGTGGACACCAGGCGTCCCTGAGCAAGGCTGGCGCCCTCCAGGTGGAATCTGCTGACCACCTGGGGGCCAGCAGCCCCAGGGCCGGGGAGAGCCAGGGATGAGTCGGGGGCTCCAGGAAGTCAAGCACTGGGGAAGCGAGGCAGGGCACTGGGGCGCCTGGTCTCCAGGAGGCAGGTGCCTGGCAGTGACCCATTTCCTGTCTTTCGGCAGCCCTGAACCCCGCGCACACGGGGCGCGTCTGCAGCACCTGGGGCGACTTCCACTACAAGACCTTCGATGGTGCTGTCTTCCGCTTCCCCGGCCTCTGCAACTACGTGTTCTCCTCGCACTGCGGCGCCGCCTACGAGGACTTCAACGTGCAGCTGCGCCGGGGCCTCGCAGGCTCCAGGCCCACCATCACCCACGTCGTGCTCAAGGCACAGGGGCTGGTGCTGGAGCTATCCAACGGCTCCGTCCTGGTCGACGGGCAGCGGTGAGCAGGCCCAGCCTTCCTTCCGGGGGTGGCAGTGGGCCCAGAGCCTGGGCAGCAAGGGCCTGACCTCACGCTCCCCTAGGGAGGACCTGCCCTACAGCCGTGCTGGGCTCCTGGTGGAGCAGAGCAGTGACTACGTGAAGGTCAATGTCCGGCTGGTCCTAACCTTCCTGTGGAACGGAGAGGACAGTGCTCTGGTGAGGACGCCAGGCCCCAGGGGCCCCAGGGGTGGGAGGTGGGGGAGCCAGGGCAGAGGCCTAAGGCTGGAGCTGCCCTGCCTGCCCCCAGCTGGAGCTGGACCCCAAGTTTGCCAACCAGACCTGCGGGCTATGCGGAGACTTCAACGGGCTCCCCGATGTCGGCGAGTTCTATGTGCACAGTGAGTGCTGCCTGGGGCCAGGGGCCACGTGTGAGAGGCTGGTTTGGGCAGAGTGGGTGGACTGGAGTGAGCTGGGAGGGGGTCCAGCCTCAGGGAGCCAGACAGCTTCCCACACTGAACGTTCTCCTGGGCAGACGCCAGGCTGAGCCCTCTTCAGTTCGGGAACCTGCAGAAGCTAGACGGTCCCACGGAGCAGTGCCAGGACCCGCTGCCCTCACCACCCGACAACTGCACGGATGGGGTGAGCGCCCTCCCCAGGTGTGGGGTCAGCAGGAGGCCTGTGGGTGGCTGAAGTGGGACAGGGACAGTCGAGCTGAGGCCTGAGAGATGGCCCCGAGTGACCAGACAAGAGAGGGTCCCCTTCCCAGCAACACTGAGGGAAGACCCTTGTACCCTGGGGTCGGGGCCGAGGAGGGCAGCAGGGGGAGTGAGATACCTCCGTGGGAAGTTCCACATCGCACACCAGGGTGGACATGGCTAAGTGTGCAGCGACTGTGTGTGGAGCAAATGTGCACCCGGGGGCACGCAAGGAGCCCGAGCGAGCCGCTCGAGGAAGCCGGGCAGACCTCCTTTGGATCTGGCCTGGAAGCTCCAGGAGCCCCCAAACCAGCAGAATCCCTGATCCCTAAATCATGAAGGGAACCTGGGAGCTGCAGCCCCACATCAACCGCCTGGGGTCCTGGGCAGGACATTTGTCACAGCAGCATGGAGCCTGCTGGGGCTGCCTGAGGACAGATGAGTACCTCTGTCTCCCTCTTCTCTGAGCCACCACCAGGGTGGACCCTAAGTTCACTTCCTGTGCCCTCACACATGGGAGGTGTGTCCTGGAGCTTGGGTATGAGGGGTCCAGAGTCCTAGGTCACCCCCCCAGAGCCAAGCAAAGCTCTGTGCCCAGCAATTGCGAATTCAGAGTTGGGTGGAACCCCAGGTAGATGAAAGGATGGATGGATGGATGGGCGGATGGATGAGTGGGTGGATGGGTAGATGTATGGGTGGGTATGTAGACGGATAGGTGGAAGGAGCTTGAGGTGAAGAAGGGGCTCCCTGGCCCTGTCTGGAAGGGGCAGGGTCCCCACACAGACGCGTGGCCATTCTGCCCAGCAGTCAGAGGGTGCCTGACCTTCCTGTGCCCTCAGGGGGACTTCTGCCGCCGCATCCTGTTTGGCCCGGCCTTCACTGAGTGCAATGGGCTGGTGGATGCCAGTGTGTACGCGGCTGCCTGTGCCCAGGACCTGTGCCGCTGCCCCACGTGCCCCTGTGCCACCTTTGCCGAGTACTCCCGTCAGTGCGCCCATGGGGGGGGCCAGCCGCAGAACTGGAGGGGCCCCGACCTTTGCCGTGAGTGCCCCACAGGGCCTGGGCCAGGTTCACATGGGGGCCTGGTGTGTGGCTGGGGAGACGGGCTCAGGGGGCCACTCAGGGGCCACAGCGAGAGTGGGAGAGGAGAGGATTTGGGGGAGCCGAGGCCAAGACAGGCCTGGAGGTGCTGGGAGCCCAGGACTGCTGTGGCCTCAGGTGGCCTTGGGTATGGGGGCACATAAAGGCAGGGGTGGGCGTGACTGCGGCAGGGCGGCTTTCAGGGTGGGACGCACCTCGCTGAGCACTGCCTCCCCCTGCAGCCCCGACGTGCGCGCCCGGCATGCAGCACCAGGAGTGCGGCTCGCCCTGCACCGACACCTGCTCCAACCCCCAGCGCTCCCAGCTGTGCGAGGACCACTGTGTGGATGGCTGCTTCTGCCCCCCAGGCAGGCCCTGAGCCCTCTGCCCACCTCCACCCTGCCCCTGCCCAGGAGCGGGCGGCGGGCCCTGGCCATCTTCCACCCAAGGGTCCAGGGTGGGTGGACACTGACCGTGAGGAGGCAGAGGTCTGCGGGTCTGAGAGAGGCAGAGAGGGGTCGAGGCCCCGGGCTCAGTGGGGACCAGGCCAGCAGAGCACAGCGCTCGCCCGCCCCGGTCCTCACCCGGGCCCACTGCCTGCTCCTGCCCAGGCACGGTGCTGGACGACATCACGCACGCCGGCTGTGTGCCGCTGCCTCAGTGCCCCTGCACGCATGCCGGCCGCACCTTTGCCCCTGGGACCTCCTTCACCACCAGCTGCAGCTCCTGGTAGGGCCCGACCTCCTCATGGGCTGAGTGGGTGGGGCGCCTGCTCCCACACCTCTCTCGCTCATGGTCTCCCTGCAGCACCTGCTCTGAGGGGCTGTGGCAGTGCCAGGAGCAGCCGTGCCCAGGCACCTGCTCCGTGCGAGGTGGGTCCCACATCTCCACCTATGATGAGAAGCTCTACGATGTGCACGGCGACTGCAGCTACGTCCTGTCCAAGGTGAGGCCCCTTCTGCCCTGGGAGGGTCCCCTAGTGGCCATCAGTGGACTCAGCCCCGGCTGAGAGGGAAGCCCAGACCTGCGGACCGGCCGGCTCCCCGGGGGCTGCACCCGCCCTGCACTGGGCCCTTCACTCTGCGTTTCCTAACAGAGATGCACGGACAGCACCTTCACGGTGCTGGCTGAGCTGCGGAAGTGCGGCCTGACAGACACTGAGAACTGCCTCAAAGCAGTGACGCTCAGCCTCAATGACGGGAACACGGTAAGGGCCCCTGCCACCCGTGCCACAGGCTGGGAGAGGCAGAGGCGGAGCCCCAGGGCAAGGGCAGCCCCTTCCCAGGGACAGTCCCAGGACCCCCTTCAGGGCAGCCCCAGGCAGTCCCTGCTGCCCCTCCCAAGTGGACGGTGGACACTGACCCCAGCCTGCCCCTCTGCTCCCCAGGCCATCCGCGTCCAGGCCAGTGGCGCTGTGTTCATGAACTCCATCTACACCCGGCTGCCCGTGTCGGCAGGTACGTGGCTCCCGCCAGCCAGGTGAGGTGGGCACCTTCAGGGCAGCCCAGCTGGGTCCGGCTGGGTCGTTGCTGAGTTCTTGGTGGTCTCAGGCAGTTCCAGAGTAGCTTAGGGCTGGCTGCCTAGCTAGGGGTGATGGGGTCCCACCCCTGGCTGCCGAGGAGACCTGGGTAGGGTGTGCTCACCCTCTCAGGCTTGCTCGGGTCTGGTGGGGCCACCACTGGTCCTCTGCAGCCCTGTGTCCTCATCCGCAGCCAACATCACCGTCTTCAAGCCCTCATCCTTCTTCATCCTGGTGGAGACAGGGCTAGGCCTGCAGCTGCAGGTGCAGCTAGTGCCCCTCATGCAGGTGCACATTGCCCTGGACCCCTTGCACCACGGCCAGATGTGTGGTGAGGCCTGCCAGCTCCGGGGTGGGGCTGGAGCGTGAGGGCGGACAGGGATGGGGAGGCCCAAGACAGCTGACGTGGGGGGTGGCCAGGCGGGCAGAGGGACCCAGCTCACCTGGGATGGCTCCGAGCAGGCCTGGTTTGTCCTGGGTGGTGCCGGCGGGGGCTACAGGCCAGGGCACAGCAGCCAGGCAGGAAGCCGCTGATGCCCTGGCCCGGCCCAGGCCTGTGTGGGAACTTCAACCAGAACCAGGCTGATGACTTCACGGCCCTGAGCGGGGTGGTGGAGGGCACCGGCGCTGCCTTCGCCAACACCTGGAAGACCCAGGCCTCCTGCCCCAACGCCAAGAACAGCTTCGAGGACCCGTGCTCACTCAGCGTGGAGAACGGTACCTCTCCCCCAGGCCCAGGCCGGGGCTAAGGAGGGAGCAGGCCCCGGTGCGGTGGTCACGCCTCGCAGCCCGGTTCCTGAGGAGGCCGGGCGGCCTGAGGGCAGGAGGGCAGCGCCTTGTCTCCCTCCCGCAGAGAACTACGCCCAGCACTGGTGCGCCCTGCTGATGGACCCTGCCGGAGTCTTCTCTGCCTGCCACTCCTCCGTGAACCCTGAGCCCTTCCACTCGGTGAGGGCCCAGCCTGCGGGGCGTGTGGGGACCCCCGGAGTCCGACCACGGAGGAGAGGCACCGGGGAGGCCCTTCCTGCCCTGGCCTTTGGGTGCCCTCCTGTGAGGACACCACTCGCCGCCCCAGGCTCCCTTCACGGCCTCCGCCCCTCAGCTCCACCTGTGAAACCCTCCGCCCAGTGAGCCTCCACCAACCCCAGGGAGGCTTCACAGGGACGATTCGACCAGAGGACGACGGTTCAGGACCACGATCCTGGAAGCCAAAGTCCTGAAACGCACCCAACTCCCCCCAGGGTCCCCAAACACAGAGCCCAGCCCATCCCCAAGCCCACCCTCAAGCCCACCCTCCTGGCGCACCCCACCTCTCCTGCCAGCCCCTGCCTCAGCCCCTCCCCACCGCTCCACGCCCCCACGCAGCCAGCTTCCACCCGCCCTTGTCCTGTGGGGCCCCGCCCCTCCCCTCCCCGGCCCCGCCTCTCTGGCTTCCCACTCCCCGCTGCTGCCCTGGGTCCCCCCCCACCTCTGCCCCTGCCCCCTCTCCTGCGTCCCCACCAGCCAGCAGGAAGGGAGGGGGTGGGACAGGCGGTGCCGGGGGACTGGCCGGGTCCCTGACACGCCGCCCGCCCCCAGAACTGCATGTTCGACACCTGCAACTGCGAGCGGAGCGAGGACTGCCTGTGCGCGGCGCTGTCCTCCTACGTGCACGCCTGCGCCGCCAAGGGCGTGCTGCTCCGCGGCTGGCGGGACGGCGTCTGCAGTGAGTGCCCCGCAGGCTGGGCCGGGCGGGCATCCAGGCGGGGTGGAGACTTCGGGGACCCCGTGGGCAGCCTCACAGTCCGGCCACGCTGCACTCCATTCCCGCCCCCGCAGCCAAGTACATGAGCAGCTGCCCCAAGTCCCAGAGCTACGCATACGTGCTGGACGCCTGCCAGCCCACCTGCCGCGGCCTGAGCGAGGCCGATGTCACCTGCGGCGTGTCCTTCGTGCCCGTGGACGGCTGCGCCTGCCCGGCAGGCACCTTCCTGGATGAGGCGGGCACGTGCGTGCCGGCCCACGAGTGCCCCTGCTACTTGCGTGGCAGCGTGGTGGCGCCTGGGGAGGTGGTGCAGGATGACGGTGTGGTCTGGTAAGGGGCCCTGGGCTCCAGGCCACCTTCCTCCTGGCCTGCTCCCAGCCAGTGGGGTCTGCGGGGCAGATCGTGCACACCAGGGGTCTCTGTGCCCCTTCCCCCACCTCCAGTGGAGGTTCCAGTCCCTGGCAGGAGGCAGAACGTGGCTGCCACACTGCTCACCCCGTTCAGGAAATCGCAGGAGAGATGGGAGGGGCTGGGGCCCCAAATCCTCTGCTGCCCCCCACAGCACCCCACCGAGGCCCAAGCCCTCAGCACTTGGTCTTTGGGGGCCACTCCAGCTCCCAAGCTTAGCCCGAGCTGAGGGCCACAGCCCCTGCCCCTGGCCCCAGCCCCTGCCTTCTGCCACCTGGCACCTCTCCGGACTGGGCTGGCACGGAGACCTCAGCAGCAGTGCGGTCCTGGCCCGGTGAGGGGTGATGGGTGAGGACCACCAGAACACTGCATGTAGTGAGTCTTCTCTCGTAGCTCGTGTGCGAGCGGGAAGCTAAGCTGCCTGGGAGCCCTGCTGCAGAGCAGCCCAGGTATTGCCCGCCTGCCCGGGCATGGTGAGGGAGGCAGGGCACCGGGGACTCAGGTGCTGGGCTGGCCCTGGCAGGATCAGCTCATCTCCGCCTGGCCTGCCGTGTGCTCTGGCCCCAGGTTGTGCGGCGCCCATGGTGTACCTGGACTGCAGCAATGCCTCGGCCGGCACCCCTGGGGCCGAGTGCCTCCGAAGCTGCCACACGCTGGACGTGGAATGCGTGAGTCCAGGCACGGCCGCAGGGCCAGCCCCCAGCTCAGCCCCCAGCTCAGGGAGGCCGGAGGGTGTGGCTCTGAGCTCCCGGGCCCTGGGGTACCTGTGCTGCTGGAGGCAGTGACTGTGGCCTTACTGACCCCAGTGCTTCTTGCTTGCATGGCTGCCCCTGTCATCCCCAGGATGGGCAGTGTCCGCTGCCTTGGGGTCTGGGAGCCTGGGGGACCAGCGAGTAGGCCATGCTCCCAGTCCCGACCAGCCGTGTCCCACAGTTCAGCACACACTGCATCTCGGGCTGCGTGTGCCCCCCGGGGCTGGTGTCCGACGGGCGTGGGGGCTGCGTGGCCGCGGAGGACTGTCCCTGCATGCACAACGAGGCCAGCTACCGGCCCGGGGAGACCATCCGCGTCGGCTGCAATACCTGGTGTGTCTCGGGCCGCAGGGGCCGGGCAGGGAGCCACCGCAGGGACTTGGGGTGGCAGTGGGGCTGGCCTTCGACCTGATGTGACAGGTGGCACAGGGGTCTTGGGAAGTGACCGTGACAGCCTCCCCCAGCACCTGCAGGAACCGGCGCTGGGAGTGCAGCAGCCGGCCCTGCCTGGGCACCTGTGTGGCCTACGGGGACGGCCACTTCATCACCTTCGACGGCGAGCGCTACAGCTTCGGAGGCAGCTGCGAGTACACGCTGGCCCAGGTTCGCGGTCCCCTCGCACGGCCCCCAGCCCTGGCTGGCTGATCGGCCTATGGCAGCACTGCCTCGTCTCTTCCCGCTCCAGGACTACTGCAGGGGCAACGGCAGCGCCAAGGGGACCTTCCGCATCGTCACCGAGAACGTCCCCTGCGGAACCACGGGGACCACCTGCTCCAAGGCCATCAAGATCTTCGTGGAGGTGGGACACACGTGGCCGTGAGGAGCATCTCCTGGCCCCAGGCACAAAGGGCTCCACAAGGAGTGACCGAGCCTGGGTCTCGGGTGACCTGATCACCGACACCCCAACAGGCTCAGTCAGGGGCCACACCCCTCCACCCTACCTGTCTCCTCGTGGCTGCCGCCCCTTGTCCAACCCACTCCCTGTCACTGGGGTTAAGGCCCCCTCATCATTGAGGACGGTCTAGCCCTCTCATCTGCAAAGACGCTTTTCCCTGGGTTGCGTCCCAGGCTCTGGGGCTTAGCTATTCAGAGACCCTTGAAGCCATGGCTCACCCCACCATGCTCAGGGCACGCACATCCAGCCACAAGAGGCAGAAGCCCCAGAGCAGCTGAGGGTACAGCACTGGATGGAGCAAGCTGTGGGGTCTCCCCTCCAGCACAAGGCTCCCCTACTCCCAGCAAGCCTGCCTCTGGCCATGCCCCTCACAGCACAAACCCCAGGCCCCTGGAATCCCTGCCAGGCTTGGCATCCGTGGGTCCCCAGCTCCTCCAGCCCCTATGTGTCTCTGTCCACAGAGCTATGAGCTGATCCTCCATGAAGGGGGCTTCAAGGTGGTGGAAAGGGGGCAGAGCAGCGACCTGCCCTACAAGGTCCGCTACATGGGCATCTTCTTGGTCATTGAGACCCGCAGCGGGATGGCTGTGTCCTGGGACCGGAAGACCAGTGTGTTCATCCGCCTGCCACAGAGTTACAAGGTGAGCCCTGCCAGGGGACCCTGCTCTGTTCTCATTCAGAAAAGCCCTGGCAAGCAGGCCATGCACACGTCAGGGTCTGAGAGGGGATGCTGAGCCCGTGCTGACCAAGGGAAGCATTGCAGCACTATGTAGAGAGCCAGCTCTGCCTGCTGACCTCACCGTGGCAGAGGGCTCTCCAAGGGCAGAAGCCGCCCATGTGCCTGGCCAACACCCTGTCATTCCTGGTTCCAGGAAGTCCCCGGGTGCTGCCTCATGGGCTCTGTATCAACTCCCCAGCTGACATGCTCCACGTCTCCCTCCTCCTTCAGGGCAGGGTCTGTGGCCTGTGTGGGAACTTCGATGACAATGCCATCAACGACCTGACCACGCGCAGCCAGGCCGTGGTGAGCGACGCGCTGGAGTTCGGAAACAGCTGGAAGTTCTCGCCCACCTGCCCAGATGCCAGGGCACCCCAGGACCCCTGCACGGCCAACCCATACCGCAAGGGCTGGGCCCAGAGGCAGTGCAGCATCATCAACAGCGCCACCTTCGCCGCCTGCCGCTCCCAGGTGGGGCCCAGAAAGGCCCAGGGCTCCAGCTTGGCAGGGAGGGCCAAGGGGTTGGCAGCTGCCTCCTGCTCTGGGGGAACGGGGTCTGGACCTCCCTGTCCCTGGCACAGAGCTCACCTAACAACCCTACAGCATGAACAGGAGGTTGGCAGGGCTCCCAGGGGAAGTGGGACCGGCCTTCAGGAGAGGCTTCTGAAAGCCATGTCCTGTGCCTCGGCAAAGACTCAAGGGCCTACGCAGGCAGGGACAGGCTTCCTAGGTCAGGACCTTGGGCAGTGATGAAGGGAGCCCCTCACAGAGGTGCAGTTGGTGCTCAACTGCTTTGCCTGTACTGTAAGCCCATCCCTCTCTGCACCTGTCTCCTGGAGCAGGTGGTAGAGGCCCCTGGCCACCCTGGTCCACTTTTGGGAAGGTCCCTTGTGGCCTGACAGTTGGCCTCAGCTTCAGAGGCTGCTGTGTGGCACAGGTGAGGATGGGGTGCCTCCACGCCCTCTGCCCAGGAACAGCCTGGGCCAGGGCTCTCGCTCACCAGGACAGGCAGGTGGCCATTCGTGTTGGGGACGTGTGGGGTCTGGTAGTCAGGCTCCCATCCCACCACATCCTCAGGATGCCCACCAGGTCTGTGGTGGGGTGTGTCCTGGGCCAGGCTTGCTGCTGTGAATAGGGACAGCTCCACAGAGAGTTTACCTTCAGAAGAGAGGCTCAGGGCGGGGGGGGGGGGCGCGCTACGCAGAGAGCCGATGGGGAGCAGAGGAGGACTCAGCCAGTGGGAAAGCAGAGTGGGACAGTGGTTGGCATGCAGGGACAGAGCAGGTCGGGCACATGGGCAGAGGATGACCAGGATGCAATGATCAGCCAGTGGCAGTCTGTATGCCACACAATAAGATTCAGTGATAAAAGAATCCAAGGAGAAGTAACTGCTCACAGGTGAACGGGAGGTCAGGTAGATAGGTGAGCAGGTGGGTAGGTGGATGAGTAGATAGGTGGACAGGTGGCAGGTGGATGGACAGGCAGATGGACAGGTTAGCAGGTGGACAGGCAGATAGGGAGCAGGCAGACAGATGGGCAGGTAGACAAGCAGGCAGGTGGAGAGTTAGGCAGGGGGGCAAGCAGACAGGAGGGTAGGCAGACAGGCAGAGACGTGGCCGAGCAGGCAGGTGGGCAGGTGGACAGGACAAGGACCCCGGGAAGCTGGAGAGGTGGTGCTGGGTGCAGCTCGGCTCAGGGCACACTGAGGCACCCGCTGCCCTGGGGTCAGGGATCTGAGATCGCCGGTGTGGGCGTGGCCTGCAACTGCTCCAGGGATCACCCAGGCCTGGTGAGCCTGACTGGGTGGATGCTGCCGCCTCCCTGAGCCACACCTCTGCCCCCTTCAGGTCGACTCCACCAAGTACTACGAGGCCTGTGTGCGTGATGCGTGCGCCTGTGACTCGGGGGGCGACTGCGAGTGCTTCTGCACTGCTGTGGCCGCCTACGCCCAGGCCTGCCACGACGTGGGCGTGTGCGTGTCCTGGAGGACGCCCGACATCTGCCGTGAGTGGGGCTCTGTCCGTGGTGCTGAAGGGCAGGGTGGCCGGTGCTGACAGGCACATGGCCACACTCAGATGCTGGACATGTGTGCCTGACGTGTGTGTGTGCCGTCCACGTGCAGGTGTGGACTTGTGTGAGCCAGAGGGCAGCTCCTGACAAGGAGCTCAAGGGTGGGGCCCTGACACCAGGCTGGGGAAAGAGCCCCGAGTGACCTGCTGGGGAGGGAGCCTGGCAGGTGCCCCCTGAGCCTCTGCCTTCTGTGCCCAGCGCTGTTCTGCGACTACTACAACCCCACTGGGGAGTGCGAGTGGCACTACCAGCCCTGTGGGGCGCCCTGCCTGCGCACCTGCCGGAACCCCAGTGGCCGCTGCCTGGTTGACCTGCCGGGGCTTGAAGGTGAGGGTGCATCCTGGGAGGCGTCCGAACTGGGGCGGGGAGGGTTTCCCTGAGCACCCTGTCCTGTTCCGAGAGGGCCAACGGCCCAGTGAACCGCCCCCCTCCAGGCTGCTACCCTAAGTGCCCGCCTAGCCAACCCTTCTTCAGTGAGGACCAGATGCAGTGTGTGGCCCAGTGCGGCTGCTACAGTGAGGATGGAAAGTACTACGACATCGAAGCACAGGTCCCCACGGCTGAGAACTGCCAGCGCTGGTGAGGACGGGGCAGGCAGCGGGGTGGCAGGGTGGGGCAGAGCTGCTGCATGCCCTCACTGCCTTCTCCCCCAGCCGCTGCACCCCAGATGGCCTCCAGTGCACTCACAGCCTCGAGGGTAAGGAGGGGCCAGGGATGGGACTGGAGTCTGGGCTGGGAGGCCCCAAGTGACCTGGTCCCTGCTGCCCCCAGCCTGCACGTGCACCTATGAGGACCGGACCTACAGCTACGGAGACCTCGTCTACAACACCACTGATGGCCTTGGCGCCTGCTTAACGGCTATCTGTGGAGACAACGGGACCCTTATCCGCAGGGTGGTGGAGTGTCCCGGAACCCCGTCTACCACACCATTCACCTTCACCACCACCTCCAACGTCCTCCCCACCACAGGTAGGCAGCTGCACCCCAGGGACACGTCCCATGTCTGGCAAGGGATGAAAGCTGTGGGGATCTGGTGCTGCTGCCTGGGTTCATCTGGCATCTGCCTGCTTCCCAGGCAGGTGCCTGTCTTGGGGATCCCCCAGCATAGTGACTGGGGACACTGCCCCGGCCCCTCAAAGCTCCCCAGATCCCTTCTTGCCCATGCCACAGACCCCTCCTCCAGCAGTGCTCTGCAGACTGCAGCCAGGCCCTGTCTTTCAGAAAGACACAGCCCCACCAAGCCTCGGGCCAGCCCGGGGGTGAGGGCCTGCCCCCTCCTCCCCTCACAAGGCTGAGTGGTCTTTCCACCCTCTGCAGGCTCCGTGCCCACCGCCTCTACCGTGTGTGTCCGAAAGGTCTGCCGCTGGTCCCCCTGGCTCGATGGGGACCACCCAGAGCCCGGCATGGGAGGTGGGGACTTCGAGATGCTCACCAGACTGAGGGAGCAGGGGTACCCACTGTGCCTGGCACCTGCTGCCATCGAGTGCCGTGCGGAGCAGTTCCCAGGGTCACCCCTGCAAGAGCTGGGCCAGAAGGTGGACTGTGATCCAGCCAAGGGTCTGATCTGCCTCAACAGTGAGCAGAGCCCCCCACTCTGCCACAACTACCAGCTGCGGGTCCTGTGCTGTGATCCTGTGCCCTGCAGCTCCTCCCCAGCTCCCCCTACCTCCACAACAACACTCACCACTCCCTGGGCCCTGTCCAGCCCCACCCTGACCTCATCCAGCAGAGGGATCACCACATCCACGGCACTCAGCTCTCTGTTGACCACAGAGCTTACCCTACAGACCAGGTCCCGCTCATCAGCCACACCCAAAACTGACTGGGTCAGTAGCACCCTTGCCCCCAGTACCTCTACCTGCCGGCCCCAATGCCAGTGGACAGAGTGGTTCGACGTGGACTACCCCAAATCTGAGAGGGCCGGGGGAGACATGGAGACCTACGAAAGGATCAGAGCTGCGGGGGGAGCCCTCTGCCCACAGCCTGAGGACATCGAGTGCCGGGCCCAGAACTACCCCTCAAAGACCCCCGAGGAGCTAGGACAGCACGTGCACTGCAACCTCAGCTTCGGCCTCGTGTGCCACAACCAGGAACAGGAGGGAGTGTTCCACATGTGCTACAACTACAGGATCCGCGTTCTGTGCTGTGATGACATCAGCCACTGCAAGAGCCTGCGCACCAACACCCCAATGGCCACCACACTGATTACGGCCAGTAACACACAGGGGACAGCTACCACCACAGTGAGCACGGCCACCACACCACTGACCACCACACAGGAGACAGCCACCACCACACTGAGGCCAGCCACCACACCACTGAGCACCACACAGAAGACAGCCACCACCACACAGAGCACAGCCACCACACCACTGAGCACCACACAGGAGACAGCTACCACCACACTGAGCACCACACAGGAGACGGCTACCACCACAGTGAGCACCACACAGGAGACGGCCACCACGACACTGAGCACCACACAGGAGACGGCCACCACCACACTGAGAATGGTCACAACCACGCCACTGAGCACCACACAGAAGACAGCAACCACCACAGTGAGCACGGCCACCACCACACCATTGAACACCACACAGGAGACGGTCACCACCACACTGAGCACAGCCACAACACCACTGAGCACCACAGAGGAGATAGCCACCACCAGAGTGAGCACAGCCACCACCACACCACTGAGCACCACACAGGAGACGGCCACCACCACACTGAGAACGGCCACCAGCAAACTACTGAGCACCACACAGAAGCCGGCCACCACCACAGTGAGAACAGCCACCACCACACCACTGAGCACCACACAGGAGACAGTCACCACCACAGTGAGCAGCACACAGGAGACGGCCACTTCCACACTGAGCAC